TGTGCTCCACGAACATCTTGTGGTAGTACACGCACAACTCGTAGCCACGCTTGGCCAGATTGCTCGCCCCCTGACATGTGTTGCACACCAAGCGACCCCATACCCTGAAGTAAAATAAGCCTCGAAAGAAATTTTGACTGATCTGCTAAGTCACGTGGACCTCAGCGATGAGACCAGACATCATGGTGCGGGCGTCCCTCTGAGTCTTCGCCGAATACCACACGCTCGGAGACGATGGAAAGTGCGGGAAGGGGAACGGCGCCTTCTTCCGCACCCAGTGCGGCGCGTTCTCAGTGTACCACTTGCACGCGGTCTGCAGCTCGACCAACAAGGTGTGCAAGGCCTGGGCTGGTGGAGTTCCGTTAAGCAGTAGTAAATTAACCTAAGACCCAAGCCCCACACAAATTCAAAGTATACATAAGAGATGCCGAGAGACATTGAGGTCGCTGATGAGATCACGCTGCAGCGCCAGATGCGAATGGCCAGCAGTCTCGAAGTGCGAAGGCAGCACCTGCTTGGCCTGGGGGTTATTTATGCTTGAAAGACTTTCGGTGTGCAATCGTGCACCCCGATTAAAAAAGAATGCTAATTTAATGCAAGTGGCTTCGATCGCCTCAGCTTTGCGCTTCTGCCTCCGACGCTCCTTGGGATTGGCCTTGTTCTTTTTCTTGGCCTTGCCCTTCGCGGCAGCCGCAGCCTGAAGGGTTGAGGGTTTAGGGTTCAGGGTCGGGTTTAGGGTCCAGAGTCCAGAATTTATTTATCAAGTAAAACCCCGGACGTTATAATGATGCCGACTTCAGGTTCAGAAGAGGAACACCCGCCACCGCCGAAGACGACCTAGCAGACCCAGCCGCCGGCGCATCCTCCTCCGGCTCCGGATGCGACAGCGATGCCTCGTTTTCATTTGCTCAATGAGGACAACACAGATTGAGCCGACTACATATCCCCAAATCTGCCAATTCCACCAAGCATCATGAAGAGCCTGCCGGAGCTCTGCATCCTCGATGCCAGCATCGCTTGCGTCCTCCTGCAAAGGGGCGTATTACTAACTAGACAATGACTGAAATAAGCTCAAGCCACACCTCCTCCGCCGACTCTGGGAAGATCTCAGTTGGCTCCAGGCTCCCAGCTGGTGACGTGGGCTCCAAATCGCCCATGGCAGCGAAGGTGAACAATCCGA